AATATTATTTCAGGTTTTTAGTTTCTGATAGTAGGTGAACTTTATTGAGTGTTCCTGTTTCTTTAGTTTTGGTCGGTATGCCTTACTTATTTTGCGAGACTTTTCTTTTAGTCTTGATTCGATGTCTTAGACGCTCTACTATTATCTTGTTTTAATTAAGTTTGGATTTTGACAATGTAATGAATATTATGAATTATTGTTTTGTTTTTAATTATTAATGATGAGTTTTGAACTATCTTTTAGTTCTATTAATATTGAATAATATAGTATTTTTGAAGATTATAAAATATTATTTATTTTTTAATAACTTATTCTTTGGATACGTCTATTTTAAGGTTTAGTGTAGGTAAGGTGTTTTTTTGACACCGCTCCTGCATTGCTGGTTATGGACTCGGTATTCGGGTCGTGACAAGTATTTTTACTCAACTTTACTTTCGCCTCTGTATATAGGCAAAAGTCAATGCATACCCACCTCCATGTGTTTAAACTAGATAATTTGACTTGTATTGCACTGCTGGTTGAATTAGAAAATTTTAAACGTGGAAAAAAATATCCATACATTTTTAATATATTTTTTAAACCTTATGAATTGAATCCTTCACTGAAGAGTTTCAATTTAAGTTAAATTATGAAAGTTAATTTTTAATAACCTAATCCGTTTTAAAATAATTTAGATGAGTAGAAAAATTAAATTTTAGATATCAAAAACACTTTGATTTATGACTATAAAACAATCATTTAAATTTCTTATATATATATATACACACACACACCTAGAAAGACACCACTCCAAGGGTGTCATTTCCCGAGACAACAAATCTAATAACTTTTATAAAAATTTAAATGTAATTTAATGATTATATACAAACTTATTTTTTTTGAGTTATTATTCTATCATGTCTAATTATTTTATAAATGTATTTACTAAGTCATCCACATAATTTATTTAAAGAAAATTTTCATTTAGTTATGGAATATCTACACATAACTATTTAAAATTACTCGTTATTACAAGTTCAACTACATGATATTAATATGGTATAATTAATATGTGAACAATAACTTTTTCCAACTACATATAATTATTATGTGAATAATAACTTTTTGAGATTTTAATTATAGTTTATTTTTAAGTAAAGATATATATATTTTGATTCGTAAAATATCTTTTAAATTTTTTTTAATAAATTATGATTTTTATATGAAACAGTTGATCGGTTCATACAATTGAATCCAATTAATCAATCAATTAAGATAAATAATTAAACTTTCACCTTATTATACTCTAAAAGTGCGATAATATAAAAATATATTATTTCATCGTATCTTTTTTAAATAGTATTATTCTGTCAAAACTTATAAAAAGCCAAGCTAATTTCAAAAATATACGTTGAAATCCACGGTAAAAACACTTTACGTTTATAATTATGAAATTACTAAATAACTCTTATAGTAAAGCAAGTTATTTATGTTGGTTAGGGGTGAAATAATAATTTCGATGTGTATTTAATAAAACGCTTTTTTAACTATATATATAAAGCTATATTATTATTTTTTCAATGCAGAAATTGTATTTTTCCTTGCACTCCAACAACTCTATTGATAACATTAACAGCTGTCTTTAATAACATTTTTAGTGCCGTCTCTCCAAGGTCATTTAGACATCATATTGATGTTGAGTAGTGTTCCTGCAATAACAAAGTAGCCATGCTGAAGACAATACTTGTACTACAAGCGAAAAATAGTTGTGATTTTAAACGGTGTAGCTTAACTAATTAATAGATTTTGAATTTAATTTTTTAAAAATTATTTGTTTGAGTTTTATAAATTTTAAAATTATTAAAAATTTATATAGTTATTAATTTTAAAATATATAAAATTAACTAAAATATACCAAACGAATTTAAACATCAATATTAATAATAAAAAAAAACAGCTGTGCGAGGGCTATAAAAATCAACCAATCCAGATATTAGCATTTGTCCCAAATATATATATATATATATATCACTATCATCATAAAAAAATTCTAACACTAACACACTGTCTTCACATTATTCTTAATATCCACCAGAGTAGAATTGAAATTTCTACACTGTATCCAAATTGCACCCACTTTTTCTAGAGTTACAACGGTGGTTGTGGCGGTGGCTGTCGCTATGATTATGGTTGAAAATAAAACATTTAATTAATATGCAAGGTTGAAGTTGATTCATTAATTAAAAATTTAATTTTAATTATTATGTATGTATTTGATTTAAAAGAGTGTGCACTCATGTAACATTACATTCTTTTGTATTACTAATGTTTGATATTTTAGTATGAGGTGCTTTCTACAAATACTTTTTTCTTGAAAATGTGCTAAAATAATTTATTTTTTCAGGTTTATTTTATTAAAAAAACATATAAAAAAATTACCGTAATTCTAAACACTTAAAATAGCACAAAGAAAACAATGGAAATGCTCCAAGGCTGTATTTTGGACGTGGATCTAACTAAAAGTCCATGCAAACTCTGTTCTCGTGAATTAATAACCAAATAGAAAAGATAATGTTATTTACCTAGTAAAAATGAGACGAAACATTTGAGACAAAAAAATATATTTTTATTTGTTTCTTGTTTTGAAAACATATAAATTTATTTCAAAATAATTTTAAAATAATTTATTCTATATCTTTATCTTTTATGTTCTTGTGTTTTTTTTTTAATGTTCTGAAACACTAAATAAAGTCAGGTGGGCTTAAATGTCAAAGAATGGCAATGAATTGAGAGGCCAGATATTAATTGACAGGTAACAACCTCTGTCCTGCCTCAGTGAACAGATGTGATTCCTTAATTTTTGAGGTAAACAGGACATGCTCATGATCTTATGCCAGGGAAGGTGTAAATGTAATAAATGTCTTGCATACGGGTCCCATGACAGAGAAGCTCATAAAATGAAATTGTTCTTCACATGGAGGGTCTTTGTCAGTGCTCCTTAAAATCCAAACGAAGCTGGAGTAAACTAACAAAGCAATGTAAGAAGAGAAAAAAAATGTCAGAATCACCATTAAAGTGAATGCACCAAATGTCAAAGAATTGTTTGGTGCTTGCTTTCCATTGTTGTGAAGGTACGCACCTTTGCAGACAAAGGTATCAGTTTCAGTCTATTCATGCTGCGTGAACTTTGATCTTGATATATCTCCAAGCTGTGGTGATAGTAAACACTCAATAAACATGCAGTAAACGGAGATGAAATTCACAAACAGTACGTAGATTGGATAGCCCCCAACTTTCTAGGATTTAACAGAATGCCTCTTTGCCGAGAGGTCTGGTGAGATGTCAGCTAATTGCCAAGAGGGTATTGAGTTATCCCTCCGAATTTTGTTTCATCATCTTAATAGATGAGTACTTGGAAAATAAAGCAATATATATAACTATTCAAGAGATTAACTAATTGTACTTATCATATAATCAACATACATATTTATTTATATTATATGCATATTTAAGATTATCCCACTCCGGAAGAATATAGAATAAAAGAAATATCAGATGAAAGACCTGAAAATCCTATTGAGGATCAATAGGAGAACCTACAACAATATATGAAATACACTAAAAAACAACTCAAAAAAAAAATCCTAGTGCATAAAACAAAACCAGGTTTAGTCTCCTAAGTTTATAGACTAAAACGACAATTTTCCAAAACAGGGACCAAAACGTAATTTTACCAAAATTAGAGGATCAATCTGGAAATACATAATCATATTAAATTTTCACCCATAAACCATCCTAAATTCTTTCTAGAATGAACCAGGGACTGAATTGAGATTTTCATAAAGTTTAGAGACTAAAATGTAAATTCTCAAAATTGAGGGACCAAACTAAAAATATTTCATATCAAATAAAACTGAGATTCATCATCCTTAATCTCATAATTACATTGTCCATAATCTCAAAATACATTTAGGGGTGAAATTTTATTTTTTTCAAAGTTTAAAGACTAAACTGAAACTTTCACAACTTAAGGACCAAAATAAAATTTGATCATCTTCAACCTCAAGACCATTCTGCCCATATTTTACAGCAAGATTAAAATTAATTTCCTAACCCATAAAAATTAATTTAAACAAATAAACTCATAAATTCTTATTTCTTACAACATATTAATTAATTATCTACCATTAAATTCTTAATAATCATAAATCAATCTTAACAATATGAATTTCTAATCCTTATAAACCCTAATCTCTTTTTTAATCATTCCATAAACAAATTATAATCAAAAGTAATATGAAAAGAACCACTTGCTTGTTACTTTCACCTTTCTTGAATCAAAAATTTAAGATCAAAAACTAAAATCTTTAGTTTGAGGAGAGGAGGGTCATGATGGCTATAAAAATTAGAGGAGAAGAAATAAATTTTTTTTCAACTTTTTCTTAAATATCTAGATTAATTTAGATTGGATTTAAGGTTACTTGCGTTTAAGTTTGAGCTAAAAATTCATGTCTTATATTTTCTTTCACTGTTCATGCAGGAAAAAAAATCTACATGGAAAGTTTTAACCAAGAAGTTTGACCTGACTAATGGTAGTCACGGTCACCTTGATATAAGCAGAGAAAACAGAGAAAGAACCCTTCTCACCCTACCCTATCTCTATCTAACCAAAAAATCCAGACAATTTCTTCTTTTTGTAGAAAATCTTATGCACCATTGCTTAATGCATACGTCAAGGAATATGAGGCTGATTGGTCTGATTAACCAAATTTTTTTTGTTACCATGCACAACATCCTATTCTTTTGTTTTTTTTTTTTTTCCTTAGAGAAGAAAGGCCCTTAATTTTCCTTTTCTAGTTTGCTACTTTCCTAACGACTATTCCCTTAATGTTATTGAGAGAGAAAGGGAAGTGACTTCTGAGAAGATTTACATGCTATTATGGTTTCATAACTACAAGCTGACTTTTGAAACAATCATTGAGACGAGTGCTTTTCCCTAAATGCTGTTCTGATAATTACGATTGACTAAAATGCAGGTTGGTTTCATATGTACAAGTAAATGATCTTACATTGTTGTAAAAGATGGACCCTTTTTGGTAGCCAACAATCATTAAGATATAAAACAATAGGATCTATCATAATAACTTAGAAAGAATACATATAATCAGTTCAACCAGGAAGAAAAAACGAGAGACTCTTGAGTTCTGTTCATGAAAGCCTCTACTTCAGCGAGGTTCCAAGTCAGATATTGTTGCATCATTCACAGAATAAATTTTATTCCTGATAACACTGTCCTCCTCTTCATCTCTTTTGGTTGAAAAAGAAGGCCTTTTTGGAGAGGCGATAGGTGCATTTTCTTTTTTTAGCATCGAAGAAATTTTTAACATAGATGGCCTGTCCAAAGGATTTTCTTGGACGCATAATAGAGCAACTTGCAGGCATCTTGTGAGTTTACATGATGAAAAGGAATCGTCTAGCGATGGATCGAAAAACTCCACGCCTTCACCATCTTTCCATAATTCATATGCCTGAAACAATTTGATAACCATATTGGCATTCAAATGCAGACTATGGGAGAAAAAAAAGTGAATTATGCATTCATATATTGGAAAAGATGTGACTGATCACTTACATATTCAAGAAGGTTCCAGTTTTCGTCTGCACCATAGTAACATGTACTCCTCTTGCCACTTATGATTTGCAGGAGTAGAACTCCAAAGCTGTAAACATCATATTTCATGGAGTATATGCCTTTTCTTACATATTCAGGGGGAACATAACCACTGCAATTGAAAAAATAAATAAGAATGAGAAGATTTATCAAATAGTTCATGTCGAAATATATACCACTTTGAGTCAATTTCCTTACTATGTTCCAACTATCCTGCTTGTGTTTGCTTCGAGTTCATCTTTCCTGAAGAGCCTAGCCATACCAAAGTCTGATATCTTAGGGTTCATTTCCTCATCCAATAGAATGTTGCTACTCTTTATGTCTCGATGAATAATGGTAAAATTTGAGTATTCTTGGAGATATAGAAGCCCTTGAGTAAGACCTTCAATGATTTGAACGCGTTTTCTCCAATCTAACATGTATCTTCTGATTGGATCTACATGGAAGTAGACCTTAAACAATTATTCGAGGTGCATTTAGAAAGTTGGCCAAACTAAGCCAGAGAAAAAGATTCTACTGACCATAGATGTAGAAATCCAAGCTCTTGTTCGGCATGTACTCGTATATCAGCATCTTTTCTTCCCTCTCGGTGCAAAATCCCAAAACTGTAACTATATTCACATGTTGAAGCTTGTCTGTAAGTGTGACCTCATTTTTGAACTCCTCTTCTCCTTGAGTCGAAGTTTTTGATAGTCTCTTCACTGCTATTTCCTTTCCGTTAGGTAGTTTACCCTGGCAAAACAAGTGCCTCAAGCTGTCATGTTTTCGATCCTTTTACAGTCATACAAGACAATTACTTGCCAATATTCTGTACCCTCGACATCCTTCTTTCGTATAGAATATAAACACACAGCTTATATGTAATTAGTGTTCTGCAGTGAAAGAATCAGAACGCATTTATATTTCGCCAAATTTATTTACCTTGTAGACAGAGCCAAATCCACCTGCTCCAAGTTTGTTTTCACTCGAAAAGTTATTAGTAGCCACAGCAATCGTATCAAAACTGAGTGCTTGCAGATTTGGAGCATCGCTATTAATAACTCTAGTAGCAGATACTTCGATTTTCACTGCAGATAGTGATTTTTGGACACTCCCAGCAATTTCTGTTACCATGAAACAAATCAAAGAACCAACTGTCTTGATCCTGTTGTAATAATTGCTGAACCAACTCAAAATTTTGGTTAATATATTTGGAAAATTGTCACAACGGGAAGATGTTACCTTTTGAGCCGAGTTTTTTCCTTCTAAAGTAACAACAAATTATGGTGCCCAACACGAGAAAGACCACAGCAATCGTAACCAGAATAGTTACCAATACCTTCCTCTTGTTCTGCCCATCTTCATCTTTTCCCTGAGCTGCGAACGTTTATCATCATGTAAGTATTGTTTTATGATATCTTCCTATTGCAGTGAAAGCTCATTTACTCTATAAAATACACCTCACAGAACTTAGTATTGCAGGGGAGGGCAATTGATCATTCGAAAGCAATTGAAACATCTCTAGTCCAGTGTTTCATTAAAATAAAGAAGATAAAATGGGAGATCGAAATTTTCACTAACAACCTACCTGCTCGAGAAAGAATCCAATTATCGTCATTAGAGAGCTGAAATACGCTGTAACCACTAAGATTGTTTTCTTTTGCATAAGAAATCTTAGCCTTGATAGTCTCCACATCATCAAAATTGATCCAAGTCGACCCAACAACGAAAAGCTTCGTAACATAGGTAGAATTGTACACTGCTGCAGCTCCATAGCCATAACCTTGAATGAAAGATTTAATATTCTTATAACCCATGGAACCATCAATTGTTACATCTGGACCCGAGGAGGGTGCCCCAAACTCTTTTTCGTTGGGGTTCACCAGTCTCCATGCATAACCATGGTAAGGCAAACCCAAAACCAGTTTGCTAGCAGATAATCCTCCTCTTAACCATTCCTTTATCCATTCATCGGTGTTAACCCAATTTGAAGTGCCATACAAAGCAGCATGTGCACCAGTAAAATTAAATTCTGCAGGCACATGATAGTCATATGCAATAAGATGTATCCAATCTAAGGTCCTTTTCATGATGTCTATAGGATAAGTAGCCGAGTGCTGAGCAGGCGAGTGAGTAGCTGACATTACCAAGAGCAACTGTGACTTGCCAGATTTTCTTGAATCAGAAGCTATAGCGTCTCGCCACTCATCGAAAAGGATTCCTAGATTGGTCATGTTGATGCTCATACTTGGCCCAACCGAAAGGTCTAGGCCATCAAAACCATAAAGCCTCGCTGTATATATCGAGGACTCGATAAAAGACTTTCTATATGAAGACTGATTTATCATTGAGGAAAAAGCTGGAAGACCCCCTCTCCTAGCCAAGATGGATAGAAGGGTTTTAACTGAAGGGTTCTTAACCCTGACAGTGCCTGTGAAGGTAGAGAAGTAGGATTCTTTGGAAGAGTTAATATGAATATGATAAGTAGAAGAATTTATACGAGAAAAGGCACATACAAGGTGAGTAAAAAGAGCAGAATTGATATTAGAAACGGGCAGTTCACTGACGGAATCCCAGTAACCTGCTCTAATCCAGGTTTCTTGGGAGTTTGAGCTGTGAACATAGGAAGATAGAAAGAGGATGAGGGTGATGATCATGGTGTTGAAAGCCATTGAAGAAGAAGCTTACTTTTGTAACACCAGCAGGACTCCTAATCTGTATCTGTGAGAAGTGAAACTCTTGGATCTGGGGCCTTGCATTTTTCTGAAAGGTTATTTGCTTGGAGTGTATTAAACGAGAATGATTTGACTCCTAGTAGTTTTAGTCTTGCCAGATAACGTGCAGTCTATGTTTTTTCCTCGAAGGAATAATCAATTCTCAATTAGTTATCACCTTGATCATGTTGTCATGGTAGGAGGAAGAAAAAAAAGAAAAAACTATAAGCTTTTTTAATATTTTTTTTATTTTATTTTTATAGATGGTTTGGTGGCACCTTGTAGTTATTATTGTACAATGCTATTTCTAGTCAACTTTTACATACTAAAAATTCAACCTTTCTTTTTAATTTTGTCAAAGAAAGATTATTTACATCCACATTAGAGATTCAAGAAAATTTCATTTCCCACCATGACTGGATTTTGATGAGATATAAATGTAACATTCTGAATTAAAGAGATAAGAAAAAGTTATAAAGCCCTTGAAAATGTAGATAAAGAAATAAATAAATAAAAAATATTATAGTAATTCAACAAAACATGATAAATATAAATTTAAAAAAAAAAAGAGATTTGCAATTAAGAGTAAAAAACCGAGAGAAGAGAAGAAAAGGAAAAGAAAAAAAAGAAAAGAGAGAAAGAGAAGGGATATATAAGAGAATTGAAGAAAATAAGTTTAAAGGTAAGATTATATATAAATATGTATTATTTAAGCTTTAAATTTATGTTTTGGTTGAATGTTAGGGTTTTGAAAATTGTGTTTTGGGTTTATTGAAGAATTAATTTGAATGTTATAAGATTGATTATTGTAGGTAAATCCGTAAATATGATAATTTTGAGTTATGATTTTTTTTTTAATGGTGAATTTCTGTTAGAAATCATGAGATAACAGTAGATAATCTGTGGAAATTCTGAGTTTGAGGTTGAAGATGACAAAATTTCGGTTTGGTCCCTCAATTTGTGAAAATTACAATTTAGTCCTCAAACTTTGGAAAATTACAAATTGGTTCCTGGAGCATATTCTGAACAGAATAAAAAATGAATTATGGGTAGAATTTCTGTATAGTTATGAAATTTTAACACTTTCAATTTGGTCCTTCAATTTGACAAAAGTTACAATTTGACCCTAAAAATTTGAAAACAAAATCCAGAATGGTCCCTGGAACATAATTAGAGATTCTGGACAGAGATGAGGATGAATTGTGGACATAATTCCACTATAGTCATGAATTTGTGATATTTTTAGTTTGGTCCTCCAATTAGATGAAAATTATAATTGGGCCCTAAAAATATGATAAATTCCAGATTGGGCCTTTTCAGATTGGTTTGATGAAGGGTTATTTAGTGAATTATTATCAATTTTATTATTTGTTTTATTATGGATTAGATTTCGGGAAAATCGTTTAATTTTAGGTTTTTGAGAAATAACTAGTTTTTGAGAAAAATATATAGGGTTATGGAATAGACCCTTAGTTAAGTGTATTAAATAAGTTATATATTCTTTTGAGTCGTTCTTGAATATATTTCATTTGTATTCAGATAATCCTAATATTCTACTGGTGGCACGTCAGTAGGATTTCCTTCGATATCTGCTATTGAGTTCTATTTGTTTTTGAGTTAGGTGAGTGGATAATTTTTCATATGCATAAGAAATATTATAAATATTTAATTTATTAATATGAATTGGATCATACTTCTTGATAATATATATGCTAATTATTATCTTTGTTATGATAAAACATGATCAATTGTTAAATCTATGAGATGCCAGTGAGTATAACTTATTTAATAGTATCTCATTTAATTGATGTCATGAGTTGAACCTTAAGATATAAATATGTCTGTTTAATTATAATTATGAACCTATGATATGCCAGTTAGAATACTTATGTTAACATGATAGTATTAGTCTTTGTGCACATTGTATCTGAACCCTAGTTGGTTGGGGGAGTCACCAACCTATGTGAACTGATCATCTTACAGTACGGAATCTCATACTCATTGCATTTTGATTTTCTAACAAACTTTACCTTATGATATTCTTGTTATGATCTATTTGAGGAACCTTCCTATAAAAACCTAAAGCCAATTGTATATATATTTTTCATTGTTGTATTACCTCATGTGTGTATATTGAATGTTATCTACTCACTGAGTTGTTGAATTTATTCTCTCATTATTTATTTTTTCAGGCATATAACTTGTTAGCAAGTCATTTTGTTGAATCTTCAAGATTGCTCTTTTGTTGAAATTTGTATTTTTCTTTATGTCTAGTTAGTGCTCCATAACTATTAATTTGTATTAACCATTATATTAAGATAATCAAATTATTATGAAGTTAATTTGTTATTAATGCTACGTTGAACTCTGATTGAGTTGTTTAAATAATAAGTTTATATATAAGCTTGGGTTCGCATAGGTATGAAACCTTAAAAGAGAACTTTGTCGTTGTTTAAATAATAAGTTTATATATAAGTTTGGGTTCGCATAGGTATGAAACATTAAAAGAGAACTTTGTCTACGTGCCGGTTATGGATCCGGGATTCGGATTGTGACAATAAAAGTGATGATCCTAAAATATTTGATAGAAAGTCGAGTGATTTTACCAGCTTAGCATGTAATATATCCTGTTTATTTGTAGAAAATTAATTTTTATTTGAAAAATAGTTTTTTTTTTAAATATTTTTATTTGAAAAATAGTTTTTTTTTTTTAATTCTAAAAAATAAATTATTTTTTAATGTTTGGTAGTGTCATGAAAAATAAGTTGGAAAATAATTTTCAATGTTTAGTTATGTGATGGAAAATGACCTGAAAAATAATTTATTAATATTTTTTAAGTTTATTAAAATAATAAGAAACAAATCATACAAATTAAAAAATTAAGGATCAAATTTGATATAATTAACAAATAATATGATATTTTTAAATTTTTCATAACTTCTAAAAAGTATTTTCCGTCTAGAATTAAAAAAAAACACTTTTATGAAAACTAAATTAAAATTTTTTTATTAATTTTTTTTTTAATTTATCATTTTTTCCAATAATAAACAAATTACTTTCTGCAAAATAAACGTGCTTCAATGAAATATTTATCTTACAGCCTAGACGCCAAGGCAAAAGGGGATGTGCTAATAAGTTTTCAGTTACTTGTACAAGTAGGTCTTGGCTTGCTCTTTGACTGGTGTCCTAATTTCCCTCTTCAGAACAGAGAGATGCCGAGACACCTCTTCTTTCCCCTCTTTTAGCTGTTTGCAGCCTCCACCTTGTGCAAAAGAAAGCAAGGAAAATGGTGGTGCCAACCAAAAAAAGTCATAACCGAGCCTGGCTGACAAGAGTCTCAACCGAGGCTGCCAACCACGAGCCCAACCGAGCTTGTCCTACGAACCCTTTTTTCCCCAACTCAACCTAACCCTCTCATCTTCTAATCGAATCCTCTCTTTCTTCTTGGCACAACTTAACCCTCACATTTCCCGACCAAACTTTTCTATTTTGACGAGGAATTTATTTCGCAGGTGAGTCAGTTGAAAAGCTAAAATCTAGTCTGAGAAAATCTCACGACTTCATAGAAAAAAAGAGAGAGGAAGGAGTGGAGCCACATTCAGGAGACATCTGTCCTAAAATTTGACCTGCGAAACTTCTTGAATGAAGCATCATTTGAGAAGTCAGCCACAGATATTTTGATGAAATCTGTGTTTGAAAACTAGGAATAACCTTATATTAATTTATTTGGATTAATTTAGTGAAATATAATTTATAATTTATAAGTTTTAATTTTTTTTTACAGTAAAATAGAATCAAACAATAATAAAAAAAAATAATATAAATAATCACAAAATCAGCATCAAGATTTTTAAAGTAAAAAATTCAATGTGAAAAAAACCACGAGATCATAATCCACCTAAAAACTTCCACTATCAACAAATAATGAGTTCATAGTTGTTCTTCTTCATATTCAACTAAGGGATACAACATATATATCATTAAAAACAACTTATTCTCGGATTACAATAAGATTAAAGGAGCATTATTTAAGAAAAAATCACAATACTGACAGCCCCGTTTTTTGTCAAAATAGTCAGCTTCTATACCACCAATCTTCGATCCAACCGATCAGAATGAAGAGTAACGTGTCTAGAAATTGTTGTCAAAATCTTAGCCCGATTCAATAATAAACGAGCTGGAATTTAAAGGAACAACACAGGTTACTCTGTTGTTGTTTTTTCTTTTTCTTTTTTTATTTTTTAATTTTACCATTATAATAACTGAACTATTTAATTTGAATATTAAAAAATAGAAATTAATATGATGGTACACCATCACATCGTGTGAACCACACACAACTTGTTGTGTCGGCAGGGATCCACGTAATTCCACGTTTGAAATTTCAATCTAGAAGAGGAACTGAAAACTTGTAGGATCGCCAGCATTGTTTGAGTACGTGCACACTTTTATGCAAGACTTGTGGTGGCCTTTGATACGTCGCCAGGAGCAGTCTATCAAAGTTTTTCCATATAAATTTTATTTTGCTAATGAATTTTAGCGGTGGCAAAAAGGTGGCCTGAAGGAGGAATTTGAGTCCTAGCAAAAAGGGAGAGTCGATCCCGAATCTTTATCGTTAAAGATCATACACCTTTATTTCGACATTATAACTTTACGTATAGCAAGTTGTCCCAAGACATAAAGCCAGTGAGCAAATTTATTCAGAACTAACTGCTTAGTGGAAAGAGGCATATTGCATGGCATTATAGTTAAGTTGCACATCCTGAATCAATTCTTATAGAGGCAAGCCTCGGAGTTGTTTGATTCCATTAACAATGTGCATGCCGTCAAAACTTTTGCTGTAAATTTCTGATAATAATCTAGAAAAAACACAACGAGCTTACTGTTCAAGTCTGTAAAAAGATTTAGCATTTGCTTCAAGCTTCCGCAAGAAAGTACTTCCTCATCGCCCAACGACTTGCGAAATTGTTGCATCATCAACTGAACAAATCTTTAGGTGCAATTGATCACGTCTGTTTTTGTCATCTTCATCTGTATTCACAGAAAAAGCAGGCCTTTTGGGAATGGTCACAATGGCAGTTTCGTTTTTTAGCATTGAAGTCCAACATAGACGGCCTATCAATACGGTTTTCTTGGACACATAGCAGTGCAATTTGCAAGCATTTGGTCA